CTTTGAAACATCATTCTGCCAAATATGTCCTGATAAAAATTTGACTGCATAGAATATTTTATCTTTTACAAACAACTGAGTAAACAAGAATGCTGACATTAGATTCCTGTTTCATATGATAAAACCTCATGTTTTTGTTCAATCTAGATATGTTTTTCTCTCGGAGAATATCAGCACTGAAACTGATTGATTTAGCATTGACTCAAAATATATGAATGGGAGCGGGAATTAAGTTTTTTAAATGACTGCAGACTACAGATAATTAAAGAAATGAAGATAACAAATTCGCTATGGTCTTGGAATCTTCAGATTTGTAGACAGTTGAGAATAAAAGCAGTACTTATTTAGCTTACTGTAAGAAAACGATTGCTGAGTCAATGTTTAGAGTCTCGAATACTAATTAAATGTAGGTGTTTTTAGCTTCAGTGGAACTTCAGTCATGCAGCATTTCTAAAATAATCTCTAAGCAATCCTTCAAAATGAAGGTAAAATTGCAGTTATTCTCTCTGTCGCTCCCTTTAGAAAAGCTCTTAATACTTTTCATGACAAAAAGTTGATAGATGAATGACTTCGCCTTGTCAGTGTCGAGTGACTTTTTCTCATTTCCTTACAGTGTTGTAAAAAGCGGTATGATATCAGTGCGTACGTCATACTACAGCCATACAGGATACTTTTTTGCTGATTCAAATCTAATGTTGCAAAAAATTATGCTGTGAATTGTGAACTTCATTATTGCTACATCAGTACACGTCACAGCTGCATAGGTGAATGTGAGAGATGTGATAGCTGTTCATTAGCATCGGCATTGTAGAAATGGTTGTTCTGTGGCAATCCGGAATTTACAATTTATTTTTGGGGCATCGGTCCGATAGTGGAAGTTTATAAAACTGTGTTCTTAAAATAAAACCTCCTTTCAGTAATACAAAGAAAGAATGGGTAGATTAATTTTTACTTACTTGTACGTGATGTTTACCATTCGACACAAAGGTTTAAGTAAATTACGGCAAAATTACTACACTTATACCTATAATAAAGAAACCTGCACTTCTTAAGATACCAGTTTACACTTAAAGCATATAGATGCGTCAGAAAACTTAGATGTGACTGACAAGTCACTGTCCGGAGATCATACTTCGTAGATTAGTGCACCTAGGTACAAACAAATAGTGTCGAAATTTCATGGAACCGGTTGAAAGTCTGTCTAAGTTCATATCACAAATGGCAATGTATCATACTCTGAAGTCATACGGTTGAATCCCTGATTAATGAAAAACTGCTGTACTCACCACAACTTACTCTTTATTTCTACTAAATTTCTTAAAACGTTTATAGATAATGGTGAGTTTAGATGGAGGGTTTGACTATTTATATGACTCCATTAATAACCTAGCTTGAAAAAATAATAAGATGTAGTTATATTTGATACTACAGGATTTACTACATTTTATTGAACATGAACCAGCCATTCTAAGATAAACCGCCTAATAAGTATTTTAACGTTACTTAAATTAAACTAATAAAAAACCAGTGCTAAGTGTTTCGGTTGGTTGTTTTTTGAATATTAGTTAATTTCAAGGAAGTATTCATGAGGGATGGATGTCAACTGGAGGACCATTGAAAAACTAGGAGCACAGGACAGCTCTTGTCCATGATGAATACTACCTTAACACCAGTTAGCCGATGTGCGCAGGCTATCAACTTAATTACTGTATAATGCTGAGTAGTAACTTCTTTTGAAACATATTTCTCGAAGTCCCAATTAGGAGTCATTGCCTTTGGAGCCAATAAACTAGGATGTGAAGACAAATGTTCGCTGACAGCAATGGATGATAGTCAAGTATATTGTTAATTGACAGAAGTAGGAAAATGTGAATCATCGGATTGTAATCCAGTAGTTGAAAGGTAACGTGCTCACCACGAGACTTGACGCTGTTGGGCAGGATCACTGGTATGTTTGTGCCTACGCTTTGCTGAGAATTCCCATATTAGAATAAAAATAGCTATGCATTGCTTCCTAGTTGATAGTTCTCCAACTGGTGTCAGTTAATGATAAATACTATCCCAAAGTGCTAAGTATACTCGCAAAACATTGTCGTATTCTGTCTTGTTGGCATAGTCGAATGGTACTAGACTAATAGATTTGTAAAGTAAAATGTGAATGGTCTACTGACTCAAAAACCTAAACCGGTATTTTGACATGCCATAGCAGAAAGCTTTTAAACTCTTTCATCATGAATATTTGCTTCAGAAAAGATTAGTAAGTTTGAAATAATTGACTTTTTCAACTTTCATTCTGCAGTAAATAACATTTTTGTTTTCCTTCGAAATACTTTCAAAAATTCGTGACTTGAAAGGAAATCATTTATTTAGTTCACCGGTGGTTCTCAAATACTTCAGATTGGTTTACATAATTGCAATAATTCAGAGAATGAAAAAAATCCATAATGCAATTCTTAAATCGTTAGCAATAATAACACTTATACTTAGAAGATAAAAGTATGAAGATGCAAATTTTAAAGGAAAATGAGATTACTTTCGATGAATCGAATGACTGGATTGAGAAACACAAATGCACTCCAACCCTAAAATCTTTCATTACGTAACTGTAGGAGATGATGTAGTGTGATACTCTCATCGACTGTAACAATCCCTTTTAATATTTGTAAACTGTAATTCATAATAATAGCGGTTAAATAGCAATAAGTTTAATCTTTTACTAGTCTTAGAGTATTTACTTATCACTAAGAGCAGTGAATTGAGCATAAACTTAAAAGACCAATCCATTGATTGTTCTTTTGTTTCAATGCAGAGTTTATTGGAGCTGAACTGTAAAACGTTCTACCTGTTTGTAATTTGTTAGGCCAGATGATGACTTTAGTTCATGTAATTCTGAAAGCGTAAAATGCTTCAATGATAAACATCTACTTTTAGGGTTTTTATAAAGCTTTCACTTCGGGGTAGGTCATGTTGTATGGATTCAAGCCTATGTAATCTCAAGATACAAAGTTAAATATTATTAACAGTCTTAAGTCCTGCTGAAGAAGCTGTGACGTGTACAATGAAATGTCCAGAAAAAATCTTGTTTTCGATTTTCTAAACACGCTGGGATTATATTAAAACTTACATATATAATGAGTCTTAAGTTCATTTGTAAAATATATTGTATGCATTTTTTTCAGCCAGTTTATTTAATGCTACTCTTCACTGTCTGAGAATTTTCAGTGGTTTTATCTTTTCACTTATTCTTTTGCAAGATATACATTTCGCAAAAATTCGAAAAAGAAACACAAGTTAGTCTTAATTTTCAATGAAAAACATCATACAGATTAAAAAAAGCAACCTTTGAATGAGAATATATTAATTTTTGCATAAATTTTTTCTGTGGATTATTTTTAAAATATTCCTACTAATACAAAGATCAAACACAGTAACACACCGATTCTACTGAGTTTAGAATGCGCTTGCCATTATGTAAATTATTTTATTCTAAGTGAAAGATTATTTATTGACAAGATCTTTTGATGAAAATGAATTCAGTCATTCAGAATTATGACAATCTTTTTGACTGACTTCAACTAGACCCAATCTCATCCTTCACACACACTGATCTGTAACTAATAAAACTGAATATTTGTGAGGAAAATGCGACTCTTAAAAACAATGCTGTTACGCAGTCCATATCTTTTTTTACTTATTAGGAAAAACTCAGTAATTTCAGTGATAATAACACAAACTTTCTACTGTAGTTTAATATGCTTTTTGAAAGTTGAGAACAAAATGTCATTTTAATTTTTATATTTGTGCAGATTTTTCCGATCCTCAAACCTTACTGATGATACTATACCACTAAAAATGTGAACAGATATATACAGTCTACAGGAGTAATGAAATTGTAGAAGCTTAAGAGAATAGTCTAGTTCACAGCTCAAAAGTTATGTGAATTTACTTACTGAGAATCTATAACTGATTAATATACATTCTGAAGTCCATTCAGAACTCCTACCTCATGGAAAAGGCGGCTGTCGTGACTGTACTTCTTGGTCAATATATTGAGTGTTTGAAACGATGATAGATATATTCAGCTGATGAGTGTCAGTTAGATAGAAAAAACTCTGGATTCCGTTTGCAGGCATTACTCAAATAATTTCAAATTAAAATATGCACCACATACATATAGATTAGTGTTACAATTGGAGAATATCCTAGCTGAAACATTTAATCCGGCCAGTAGTATGGCTGCATCATTGTTGAATTTGGAATCGTAGTCTTGGTACTACATGCCATGCAACCTGTTCATTGAATCGGAAGATATCTTTGTTACATCGATCCCACAGTATTTAGATTTTCTAATAGCTACCTACAGTTTAGGTCTAGACTAAAATAAACCCCCAAGTAGTACAGTGACTGACTGATTTGTAAAATAGATTATGATAATTCAACGCCCAATGGAATTCAAAATGTTTCTCAGTTAACAGTATTCTTTTTAATTTAAAGGACATTTCGGAGGTTATTATCAAGTTTCTTGGCTGAATTGATGAGTCATTTGAAATGAGATAATGATAGTATAAACCTATTTATGATACGGATTTTCTAGCAAATGCAGTCTTAATTTGTTCCAGTAAATCTGTCTGCGGAGTATGACTGTTGTTGGTCGTTTTATTACACAATTCAAGCTCGTAAATCTGGTCATTTTAGCGTTACTTTCCTAAACTTTGAAGAAAATTATGAAATGAGGTTAGTAGTGACAACATTTCACTTCCTATCAATGCAATGGATTTATGTCTGTCGCTTATCAAAATTTCGAAACTGGTCTCAAAAATAATCAGTTACCAGTATAAAAAAAGTTCTCAAAAATTATTTTCATTTCTGCATATTACTGACGCTAAAGTCTTCTGAAATAGTGAAATGCTAGTGAACTATCAAAATATCTGTTCACAGCAATAAATAGCAGTCATTTTCACGTTGTTTTATGATATTCTTTTTTTTAACTGCTCATCCAGGATGTGGTTGAATTGTCGAAAAGATTAACCGAAGTTGAGGAACAGTTGGTTGAAAGATGTGATGAAATCGCTGATTTGAAGGCTGAACGTAACAACATGAAAGTGAGTAGAAACTATTCAATATGTATTTGTCGCTTGGTTTGCTTTTTAAAAAAGATTTCTGCCAGTGAATTTCATAAGCATTTGTAGATTGGTCGCAATCATATTAAACGAGAGAATTACGACAATAGTCAGGATAGACATTCTATTATAGTGTTGTTATTAATTACTCGATAGTTGCATAGTGGAGCTGAAGCTTACTGGTTTAAACACTCGACTTTAGTCAGTGGGTCGTGCTTTTTAACCCTGCTTCACCTATGGAGAAGGCCGACTGGGGACATGACGTGCCAGGCCCTCAAGTGGAACCCCGATGGGAAGCGACGAGTTGGGCGTTTGAGGGTGAAATGGAGGAGATCGTACGAAGAGTAAATAAGAGCTTGTGGGCTGTTGTGGAGCCAGGTTCAAAAGATTTCAGAGAATAGAGTTTACTGGAGACGTGCTACTGAAGCCCTATGTTCCATTAGGAACCCAAAGGACAAATAAAATAATGATAAAATATTCACCTGTGAAGGTTTGAGCGACAACTCGACGTCGGTATTTCTAGCAAAAGTGTGACCAATCATCGACTAAATTAACATTGGTGTGATTTCTGAGTGTATTTCGATTTTGAATATTTCAGTGGACGCTTCAATGAAAAATTGATTGCACTCCTAGATTTCTATTTGATAACTTTCGTGTAGTAAGTATGTGCTCTTGCCACTCTTCGATAGTGAAAAACAACTAAAATACTATAATCTATCTAATACTTAGTGGTTTATCAGTTTATCTGTGAATCGTTCAAATCTTATTATGGGTTATGATGAAAACTCGTTGATCAAATCTGAACGGATGAAGAAATGTTTCTCAGTTTATCCAGTATTGGCTAAAATTTACGTTCTCTGGTTGATCAGTTTTACCTCCTGCCACCATTTGTATAATTTCCTTATGTAATGCCCAAGGGTTAGTTGGAAGACTTTTCAACTTTTATTCAACATTATCGAAAATATCTGTTAGTGTTTTTCTAAATTTTCTTGGTTCATCTTTCGTGAATTGACCTCGCAAAGAAAATACTAGATGTAATGACTAAAATTCACTTGAGTATTACAAACTACGCAGAGTTGTCAGTGTTAACTTGAGATTAACAGACAGAATTTAACATTTATTCCCAATAGGTTGCTTCACGCATTTACAAGTATTGTCGATGTATGCAGCAGATAAGTTAGAAGTGTGGATGAAAAGTTGGCCCAATAGTCTACAGTTTTCACAAATTCTCGAAGTGATTTCATTCTATGAAAATCAACTTCTAAAATATTTAATTACAGTTCGGATTCAAACACATCAAACTAAACACATACATGAGTTTAATTAGTCCAAATAATTTCATAGTTTCTCATCAAAGTCAATCAGTAAATTTAAGTTGTTTTTGTCTGATTTTCTCAGAAAGTTTCAAACTATAGCAGCAATGTTGGGGTTCTTTTAAAATGTGATTGAAAATAGCATCGCTTAGAATAATGGAAACATACTTCTTTTACGGGTAAAGATTTTGATACGTCTAAATATGTGTGGATGTCATAACTGCCATTGCCCAAAGACCATTTGGCACAAGAAATGATGTATGTTGTGAAACTGAAAAGTAGAAAAAATTACTTCAAAGGGTAAACATATTCTTAAATACATACAAGTTGTGTCTTATAAAGTCATTGTGAATAAGATTAAAAAGTAGTCATTAAATGCGGGAATAATTATATGGAAAGTCATCATTATAAGTTATCTAGAAGGTCATGTGGAACAGAAATTTGCCACTCAGTTTTTTAACAATTTTATAGAGTACCCAAATGGTAATCAAAAGACTAAAAAGTTCAGTTCAGTCACAGCTCAAGATTTCTTTCGTAGTTCATTCATTATCTTCCAGTAACCGTTAGAAAGTTAACACGTGTTAGCTGATTTCGTCCAAAACAAAATCTCGTATAGCAAAATCAGTTAAAAAAGGATAGAAGCTTTTGTTTTCTTGGACGAACAGATGCAATGCGCAATAAGCGAGATACTGAAACCAAATTAGAAATGTCAGGGTTCATAGCTCAATTAACACAGCGCTGGCATGATATTTTCTCCATAACTTGGTTGAGTTTAAGTTCTCCGTTTTAACCTAAATAGCTACTCCTTTTATGATACCAAATCCTACAGAATGTTGTCTAAGGCAATGAAGTTATAACTTAAACAGTCACTAACTGCTCTTGTAATACATAAATATGCGATTTTCAAATAATAATAATAATAATAAAATAATAATAATAATTTATTTGAATGAGAATATGTTGATGTTCATCACAGACTGAAATTAGTTGGAAAACTACTTAGAACCTAGGGGCACTGGACATTTGTTTCGTTATAGTATGGGACTACTCAGGAATATGTAACCATGGCGCTTCCTGAAACTGAACACATGACTTACGAGTTTTGCGGTTATCCTTCGTGGTATCATCGATGGGCAATGCTGTGGAGTCCCACACTATGACGGAACAGCTGTCCAGCGCTTCCAGTTTTTCAGTGGTCCAGCAAGTGATGTGAGTCCATGATAAACTCCAACTTGATCCCCATAAATCATCGCAAACCTCCAACCTGAGTGAAAATATTTTTATAAACTGTAGTGATTACCACTTAGATTGGACTTTATGAGCAAATTATTAATGCTAGTGTAAGGCGTTAAACACAAAAAATACGCGCATACTTTTATACTAACCATCTCAATTTATTTGCCGAGGACTCAAGCTAGCTTAAAGAAACCTTTTGAGAGATCCCCTAAGCAATGAATGAATATTTATTTGAAACAAAACTATAGCTCTCTATTTTCCTACGATATAGAAAAGAAAGAAAACCCTTGATTTTTTCTGTTCATTGCACTAATGAGTGAAATAATCGTAGCAATTAGACTTTGTGTGCTTCTCAAAACTTCACAGATAGTGACATTGATGCCATTACTAGAGTAAAAGCGAGGATTTTTTCAGTGTTATCAGAGACTTGTGATTTGGTTGCGGTTTTGTTTTCGTCGCTACTACTTGCTCACACATGAACTTCCTCTAAACATATGAAGTGAGTATTGACTGAAGTCTTTTACTTCGAAAAAGCAACAATGAGTATTAGATTTTTGTATTTATACAATCCATTTATGAAGCAACTACACTTGTTATTTAACAGGAGTATTTTAACATTGGTACATTGTTACATACTAGTTTTGTTTGGTATTCTAAATTTCTAACATTGTCAACAACAGAGGATACCACATTGAAAGCTTTTAGGTTCTGCTACGTTAGGTGCTTCTTCAGATGTATTCAGTGGAGCATTCGGTCAGTTATCCACTATAATTTTTAATTAAATAAGATACCGATCCTCCTAATTTGAAGAAATAGTTCTCTTCACAGACGTCAGAAGCATTTAAAACCAGATTGAGAAAACTTCGGCAGGATTACCACACTAAACCGAACTCCAGATATTTTTTCCCACAGAAACATCTTTCTTTTCATACAAAAGGTTAGAATCTAATGATCACTATATTAAAAATTCTGCATACTTACTACGAATATCCGATTCAACAGTCAAATGTCAACTCTTACTTTCAGTCTGAACAATTTTCGCTGCAGCTTACAGGAAGCAGACCTTAGAATCAATCATTATTGAACAGTCTATATTACCGAAGTTGTTCATGAAATCATAATTTTTCAGATATTAGGAAATACTTGCATACCTTGCGTTCTTCCTTTCCATTATTATCTCATGACTGACTATATAAATGATTGGAGTAGAGTATAACCTGACATATTGATACAGACGAACAATCTGAAGCCTCTGAAACAATTATCTGAAAACGGATGTATTTTAATGAAACTAAAAAAATAAATCAAGGGGTAAATTGTGGATACAGAATAAACGATTATGAAATCGGTGAATGTCAGGTATTTGGAACAGGAAGAACACTGAATTTCTCTAGGCCAGTATTTGTTATTCATATGATCTATTTTATAACTGTGCTTTTTTGATATCAGAGAACACTACACAATAAGGCAAGGAGGCTGTATTTGGGGGAGGAATTAGAGGGTAAGTTCGTTTTGAGTAGTAGGTTTTTTCAGAAGAATAGTTGCTCTGAAATACTCATGAAAAGTTAGGAATTGGAAACTAATCCAAAACTGTTACTAGTAAACAACAGAAAACACCGTTTATTCAACTGGCAGTCGAAGGAAACCAGATAATGACTGCCTTTTTATGCACAACTGAAGATTTCAATTAACAGCATACATCCAATGGGGAAAATTATTCTGTGGTATTAGATAAACTAATGAAAAACGCAAGCAAATGCTAACTAGGGAAATAATTGATTGTTTTAATTGTTCTCTACAACCTCTAGCAGATTAAAAAGGTAAATAGAAGGGTTGCAACTTATTTTCTTAAACAAATATATAAAAATACTTTTGTTTTTGAGGACTAGATTAGATCGAAAGTTTAAATGCACATCACGTACTTGACAGGGGGCATGAAGTTAAATAACTTTAGAGTAACATTTTAGTCGATACATGCATGTTTATCCATGAGATGAAAACCGATAACCACTCAGTAAATGTAGTTTGGGGATCCTAAAACCTTTGTGAAAAATGCTATTTCTGTTCAGATTACATCACAGTTTCCACAAGTTTATTTTAATGTAATGTTTAAGCGTACAAAAAGTGTTGACTGAGATGCTAAATAATTGTCACTTCGGTCTCTTGAGTTCGCGTCAATACTGCTCATTTTCTCGTTCAAAACCAATGACAATCCAAAACGTTCAGTTTCCTCATAATTCTGTGTTTTGTTAGAGTTTTTCCCTAGCAGGAGTTATCTCAAAACCATATCATATATATTTCTAAAAACAGCTAAGTTAATATTGAACACATAATATTCACTTACTGCTACCGGAGAATTTTAAAAATCAACTTTAGGTGGCTGTCGTAAGTAAAAATCTGTGACAGTTGAGGTAACGAGTTGTTAGTTGACTT